CATGCACACACACACACACACGCACACATGCTCGCACACATACACACATAATTAAACATGCAAGCACACACAAACACACACATTCACTCATACACACATTATATACATACCCCTGTAAATACAAACACACATGTACACATACAAGCTCACTGAAACACACAGAGACACTCACATGTACACATAAACACAGGCAAACATATGCACACGAACATAGACATGCACACACTCACACACATACTCACACACATACACATTCACACATATACACATATACACACTCTCACATAAACATACACAAACTCAAAATAAACGGAAACAAAACTCTCACACACACCTACACACGAACAAACACATACACAAAGACACACACACAAACACACACACACACACACACACACACACACACACACACACACACACACACACACACACACAAATCAATCATAGTTTACACACCTTCTGTCTTATTCCAAAAGATCAAAGAGGAATTGTACGGCCTCGACCTTGAGATCAGCGTGGACTGGAACACCATGGAGTCGAGTCATGACCCGAACACACTGCGCCACCTACTGGAGGCACTTGCAGGGACCACAGACGTCGGGCCGTTGGCAGGGCTCTCCTCCACCATTAGCGCGTGTGCTCTGGTCTTGAGGGACATACAAACGTTTTACAACGAGGATACTGTCAAGGTAAAAAAAATATTGTAATGATACAGTTGAAATTACTCAGACGCCACCCATTGTTTAGGAGAAAAGTGGTTGTCTTAGATAGGTGAACTTCTTGGACGGTACCTTTATTATTTTATCTTTTTTTGTAAGTGTTTTCCGGTGCTCGCAACTGCATAAGGTCATATGAGCGCTCGGGACACCTAATATTTTCAGTTGGGTAGGAAATTTTGAATTTTGCCCGAGTGAAGGCCGAAGCCTACTCTTATCGATTTTAGACCACCAAGGGATCTTTAACGTGCGCAACTTGCACACAGGCCCTCCGAGATTTTTCGCTCTTGTCCGAGAGGTCTATGTGTAGATCTTTCCTGCCAGAAGATCAGGGGTGTTGCTGAAAGACAGCAGTAAAAAGGAGCCAAGGAGTATCAGTAGAAAGGCTGCAGAAAGAGCCAGGAGCCCAAAAGAGGGCGCAAAGGAGGTGAGGGGGTGGGGGCAGAAAGAAGAGACGAAAGCAGACGACAGAGCATTCCTAGAGAGCAGAAAAGAAGGTGAAAGGAGACAAGGAGCCTTTTTGACATAAAAACGCAAGGGAGGATGTAAGGAGTGGTCGTTTGTGCAGGTGATAGTCTTGGATAGGTGGTCGTTAAAACAGGTTTAACTGCATAATTATTTTTTATTGAAGATAACGGCTGTCGTCGTGAAAATTATTCTTCACTACCTATCCATTTAGACTATTTAGGAGGCGGGCTGCTTGTATCTAAGTTACATCATCAATAACTTCTTCTCTCCTCTCGGTTTTTATCTAAATTGCATAGGAGGCCTGCTGCTTGTTCTCAATCCAGTGTGCATAGCCAACTCTTCTTTTCCCTCAGTGGTTTAATAATCGTTTAGAAGGCTGGTTGCTTGTATCTAATGTGCTTTATCAAGCGCGAGCCATCAGATCAGTTGGATACAAAAGAAAAACTCTCTTTGCACCAATGACAACATTATACGTGACGGTCCAGTCCGGCTGCAAATTGTTGGAATCTTTATAAAAAAGTTATGGGTTGTATTCTCGGCCTTGCTTTTTGGTACATTAAATTTGTATGCAATATATATTACCAAAGCGTTTTGTTCAGTTGTTGCACGCGGGAATTACTGCAGATAAAATGTGTGTATATCAGCGTGTGCGGCCAACAGTCGGAAACGCATATGTTCTTGAGGGACCAAAATGTCAAATTTGAAGGCCCGCCAAGGAAATTATGGTGTATTGTGAAGTCGTGTGAACCTTCCTTTTGAGGGATTTGCGACTGATTTTTAATCTTAAATCCTGTTTGGGTTAGTTTGAGTGAAGAAAAGCAAATTGACACAGCAATGGTCATCTAGTGCAGGAAAGAGACACCAAGCAATACAGACAGACAAAAAGAGGGTAAGAAAAGACGTAGAATGTCCTTCAAACATCTTTAACCGTACACATTCACTCTTCAAGGGCATGCTGAAGGTGCTGAAGCCTGTGCAGGAGATCCAGGTGAAATACTTGAGGGCCCTACCCAAAGCCAAAGACGCTCTCAACATCCCCGGAGACGGTAAATTGGTCTGGCACTTCATGCTGGAGGAGGGCAGGTAGGTTTTAGGTGTCATCAAGAAAAGAGAGTTGTCCTCCCCGTCTACTTTATTGTGGCTCTCTCAGTTGTTCCCCTGTCTTTCTTTCTCTTTCTCTCTCTCATCAGACCCCCTTTCCACGAAAACTGTAAGATCACGCAGCGTCAGACATCTACCTCTAAAAATAAATAAAGATATATATAAAAGAAGTTTTTTTTTACCATCTAGCATAAGACTATTGTCAGAATAACCATCAGTGTGTATTGCTCTTTCGAGTAGGTATCTATATAACTCTAAAGATCTTGTAATTAAACTCCTGCTTGTGGTTGAATAATGCATCTAATGTGACATGTTCATTTTTTCAGCTTCACTTCTCTTTTCATATAGAATTTTTATGAGAGTAATATGTAATTTAAATCTCTATATATACCTGCATGTGTTTTACGGCCCTGTACAGCCAAGAAAACGTTCCCTCTGGGATAATAAAGTATTATCTAATTTAATCTAATCTCTCTCTCTCTCTCTCTCTCTCTCTCTCTCTCTC